CTAGATCGGGAATCTATAGTCACAAACGCAGAAAGAGGTGGCGGAGTTGCGATTGCCGTTTGCTGAGATTTAAGTCCCACCATACGTGAGAGATGGGAGGCATCTGTCTCTTCTGAGCACTTGTGGATCAGTGTCCCACTCACCGATAAAGGAAAACATCAAGCTCCTGGATTCCTACACATAAGTTGCACTTATATTCGTCATAGCAGCCGTCATGAGTCCGAGTTGAGCCTTATAATGGAGAGTGTGAGCAATTTAATGGAACTCTATCCAAATGTTAAGTTTATAGTTGCAGGTGATTTCAAAGTGTCCCATGCGTTATGGTGTTATGACGCTGAGTCTGACGCCATAAGCATTCGTTCCAAGTCTGATGACGCTTTGACACAATTAACTGCAGATTTTATGAGCTTCTCTGGTCTTTTTTTTAACGGAGGAAAATCATCGAATGGCTGCTCCCGCCTGGGTTAGGCGGGAGGGAGTGTCAGACTCTTTCTGACTAAAAACCATCCCGTTCCTTCTCCTGCACGTCGAGCCGGAGCCCCGGTTACCCGTTAGGTTCACCGCGACTCCGAATCGGCATCAGCCTTGTTTACGGTGGCTGGAGATACTTGGGAGTCTAAGCAGCAGGTTCGCAAGTAAATTATTGAGTGCCTGACAAGCTAGCCTGTATTTGCCATTTATGATCCGGTTTTGCCAATAGAAGTGCATACAGATGCAAGCTCTATAGGGTACGGAGCCATATTGATGCAGGTTCACGTGGGTGAGAACAAGCGAGTTGTCGCTTACTTTTCGAAATTGACGCAAGGGGCTGAGGGAAAATATACATTTATGGATTTGATCTTCACTTAGTGTTATGAATTTGTCGTTGTCGGCCCACATCACTCTATCTACTCTAGATCCCGGCTTTGTCCGGTTCCGGTCCGGAATTTCGGTTTGGGAAGATTATGGCAGGCTTCCCAAAAAAATCGATGAAAAAATGATGAATGAAATTAAACCATTAAAGCTACTATCATTGCTTGATTTATGGTAAGCTACAATAAAACAACATGCCATTGTTTCAGTTAACACAAGTATGTGCAATTGCACTTGTTCTGCTATTGTAGGGTAGTAAATCTTGCGATGTACCAATACTTAATCGTCGAGATTTGAGTACTCCAATACATCTTTCCACAGTATTAGTCCAACAATGCAATTCGGTGGAGTGCCGATGTGGAGTGTCTGGCTTGGTATTATTAATGACGAGTATTAGTGAAATTACATGTTTTACACAAATAAGCTAATAATAAATAATTATGTTTACCTTTTAACGTGTATTACCTTTATATAGTAGATACAATCAATAGCGTTCCAATTTCGCCTTGGTAAAGGAGGAGCCCTTTTCTGTATCAATTCACTTCTCAAATTCTATTTACCTCTAGAACTCTATTCCCTATTACTTACTTCCCGATGAAATAATATTTAAGTTAAAGAGTTTAATATTTTTTTTACAAATTAGTTCGTACCTCTATAAATCAAGTTTAAATTTACTGTTCATCTGACAGTGACTGACTGACTTGACATAGGAGCACGAGTCATTGCCAGCAAAAAGAAAATAAGTAGTACAAAATCTAATACTGTATGTAGCTTTTACTCTGTATTTTAATGAATTTTCTGCTTTCTTAAAAGATATGATAAAATCTTATAGTTTTTCGTTGGTAGTGGTGAAGGTTACGCACGTGCTTTTGTCATTCCTACGTTTGTATTCAATTTAAGTGATATATTTCATAGTGATCTGAATTGAAATCCTTTAAATTTTGTGTTGGTTATGTGTATGTGTGTGTAAGTTTTAATCAGGTATTGGTGTTTTTAAGTATATTTTATTCTATTATGTCCTCTGCCCACATCTTTTTAATCCGAAATGGACGAGGTGAAGCCACCCGATCCTCCGGATCCCGATAAATCCCCGGAATATGAGACGGAAACTATCGTCACAATTAGCCTCCCTCCCAACACCCCGGATATCGAAATAATGGACGCAGATGTTTCAAAATCCCGGACACGACCCACAGGCTCCCGCCTTATCACACAGAACAACCCCCCGAAATTGGCGAAAAGTGTAAATGGTGTTACACGGCCAGGGATAATCCCCCTTACATAGTTTATGTGTCTCTTAAGGATTCCCAGACGTCTGGCACCACACTTCACCCAGTTAAGTTTGGTATGTTCCTAATGAAACGGCTGGGGAGGAATAGAGTTTCGGTTGAGTTTGTGACGCACCAGGATGCTAACAGCTTTTTAGTAAACGGTATGGTAGCTCAAAACTATATGACTTTGATCTCACAATTTAACATTACCCGAATGGGCATTGTCAGGGACGTCCCTGTGGAATGGAAAGAGGACGAAATCATTGGCAACATCAGGCTTCCCACCGGGTGTGGGGCTGTGATAAAAGCTAGGAGGATGAATCGCAGAGTCTCAACCCCAAACGGTACCGAATGGAAGCCTACCCAAACCGTAGTGCTTACTTTTGACGGTCAAACACTACACAAAAAAAAATGTTTTGTTTCTATTCAGCACTCCCGGTGAAACTATATTCATATTGTCGTTTCGGGCATACCCGCACTCTTTGCCGCTCCAAACCATGTTGTTTCAGATGTGCCCAGGACCATCCAGGTGATGGATGCCAGATTTCAGCTGAGATTGTCACTTATGACAAAGCTTGTCCTGAATTGGGTCGCCAGAAGAGCATCAAAGCTCTGATGGCTGAAAAATCAATTTCATTTGCGGAAGCAAGCCAAGTTTTCCCTACTACAAAAAGGTCATATGCTGAGGTCTCAAGATCAGTCAACCTCATAGATCCATCACCTATTAAAAATTCATCCCAACAAAGAGTCTCCTATAAGAAAACTAGCCAACCCAAACCCAAATCACATGTTCCCCTCTCTCCTAGTTATGATAAGAAGGCTCATCAGGCCCTTATACATAACTAGTCGTTCTCCCCATTTAAAAGTAGTTGCGCTTTCCCTGTAGAATCCGGAACCAATACGCGTAGCTCCGAAAACATTTTGAACATAGTTTCTGATATGCTCATGGCAGTACTATCAAACCCTGTGCAAACTGTACCTGACTGTACCTGACTGTACTGTCATATCCACAGAACTTTAGCTAAGCGTTGCTACAAAACTGTAGCAGCATAAAGTGACGTTGTGCGTTACGTCAATCAACATAAGCACCGTCAATCAGCATTTCAACAGCAAGCAGCAGCAGCACATCGGTATTTAAGCAGCAGTAGGACCTGGTATCTAGAGCAGCAGGGCTTGGGGCCCAACTACAGCAGAGCAACTTCGCCGTAGTACGGCGGCAACTCAGTAGCAGACGATAGCCGGTTTCGTGCAAGTAAGATCTTTCCTTATATCTTAAACTAACAGCAGCATGGAGGATCTTTACACCCAGCAACTTGAAATTAGCGAGGCAATCAGGAAAATACCGATTATTTTAAAAAAAAAAGATAGTGCCGATAGGAAATCGGACGACTATTTTAAAAGGCGATTAGAGTTGTTAGAGAGGTATTGGTCAGATTTTCAAAACAATCATCTAGCTTTATGTCAATATGGGGTGAAAGATCACCCATACTTTGTAAATTCTAAGCATGAAAATGTTAGCAAACTTTATAGCAGCTGTCAGGCCCGCTAACGCCTATGAAATCCGTAAGGGGTATTCATCTAATACAGGAGCAACGAGAGGAACAAGAATCAGCAAAAACAGGACCATCAGGTTATGAGCAAACAGCAAAAACCAGCATGTTACGTACAGTGGAGTCAAAAGGTTCCACCAGCAAATTAGATGACATGTTGCGTAAACAAGCAGCTAACTTTAAAGCATTCAAGAGATCATCAGGGTTGATTGACCTGGACTCTATGTCAGAAAAATGGGAAATGGAGGACGCCTTGAAAACACTTCAAGCACGTTGGTCTCAAATTGACGCTCTTCATTGGGAGATAGATAGCGAGTTGTCCGGTGAAGATAGAGTTTACGAAGAACTTTACACTCAGCATGAGAGATCATATCTTCAGCTTAAGAAAATGATCAATAAAAACTTGTGGAGTGTATCGCACCGAGAACACACTACCCCAAAAATGGATATACCTGTGTTTTCTGGAAACTATCAACATTGGACATCATTCAAAGACCTCTTTACAGAGGCTATCCACAACAATCCTGCCTTGTCCCAAGCGCAAAAAATGCAATTCCTTAAAGGAAAGGTCAGGGGCGAAGCAGAAAAGCTTATTCAGCATCTTCCTATAAGCTCAGATAATTACCATACCTGTTGGGAAATTCTAAACCACCGGTATAACAACAAAAAGCTAATATTTACATGTGTAATCAATACCTTACTTAGTTTACCGAACACACAGCATCAATCACTAGGTAATATAAAAAAACTGCATGACGTAGCTTTAGAAAGTATACATGCCATACAAAACTTAGGTATTGACATCAGCACATGGGATCCGCTTCTTGTGCATCTATTAGCGCAGAAGCTTGACAACGAAACGTATGCAGATTACATAGACTCGCTTAAAAATTCCAGGGAACTACCAGTGCTCCAGGATTTTTTGGACTACTTAGAAAGCAAGTTTACGTGTCTGGAAACTACTCGTCGAAAGCTAGATCAAGTAACACCGAAATCAGTTAATCACATGAATAACGATGTTCCTGAAAACCAAAAGCAAAAACGACATAACTTCACCTTTGCCAATAAATACAAAAGAACTCCACCCAATTCAAAGGTTTTACATGTTTCTACTACAAAATGTCAATTTTGCGGTCAACAACACGCTATGTTTAATTGCGAAAGGTTTTTGCAATTACCCGACGAAGCAAAACTAAAATCTGTAACAAAATTGAAATTATGTCGAAATTGTTTATTCGATCATAAGGGTCAGCAGTGCACTTCCGTTAGGCGATGTCGTAAATGTAATGCTAATCATCATTCTGTATTACATGACGCTTGCTTAAAAATGTCATCAAGCAACAACGTAGCAACTACATCAACTGACCCAAATGCAATAAACAATGTGGCAATGACTGCGCACGTGCCTCAAAACAATTTAGGAACAAATGAAGTGTTACTAGCTACAGCCTTAGTAAAAGTAGCCTCCGGGAATGGATCGTACCACATCTTAAGGGCTCTCATTGATCCGGGATCGCAAGTGTCTTTAATAAAAGAAAGTACTGCGAAGAAATTAGGATTACGTAAATCTAAGTTCAACGGACTAGTATGTGGAGTCGGTGAGGTCGAACAAAATTGTAAAGGTATGGTCACACTAAACTGTTCCTCAACTCATAACGACTTTTCGTTCATTACGGATGTATTAATCATGAAAAACGTACTGAAAGATATTCCACATAAATCATTCGACACACCGAAGTGGTCTTACATAGACAGTCTCAAATTAGCTGATCCTTATTTTAACATCAGTCGTCCAGTAGACTTATTGCTCAGCGCTCAAGTCATTGGATTGATATTGATGGGAGGACTAATCAAAGGAGAAAATGCATCGCAACCAGTTTTGCAAGAAACACAGCTTGGTTGGATCATTTACGGGGGTGGTCAAATAGCATCATTACAATGCAACGTTGTCATGAATAATGTTCAGGATATCCAACACTTCTGGGATATCGAAGATATAACCGAAAAGTCGAATTTATCTTTAGAAGATCAAGAATGTGCCGATTTCTATTCATCAACTACGAAACGTCGAGAAGACGGCAGATATATTGTTAAATTACCACTAAAAGCAAAAATTAATGAAAAAATCGGCTCGTCTAAAGAGTTGGCAATAGCTCAATTTCAAAACCTGGAACGTAAATTTAGTAAACAACCTTTATTAGCAGAACAATATAAAAACTTCATTAGTGAGTACGTAGCCTTAGGACACATGGTGCCTAGTTACAACAATAATTGTAAGCAAGCGCTATCGTGTTACCTGCCGCATCATTCCGTACAACGTGCAGAATCAGCTACTACAAAACTACGCGTTGTTTTTAATGCATCAGCAAGGATGTCAAGCGGTTATAGCATAAATGACCTTATGTATAAAGGTCCTAATTTACAACAGGATCTGCAGGAGCTGATATTGAAGTGGCGGCAATATCGTTATGCTTACACTGCAGATATCGAGAAAATGTACCGTCGCTCCGTAACATGGTCTGAACCAGAGCCGGACGCGAGAGGTCGCCGTCGCCGATCACATTCCTGAGGACACGGCGGTGCTCAGTCCACGCAGGACACACCGCCACCGTATGCTCCACCGTGTTCTCCGGGCGATCCTCGCAGTGATGACACCCGGGCGTTTCCTCCCGCCCAATCCGAAACAGGAACCTACCGAAACTCCCGTGTCCGGTAAGCACCTGCGTCAGACGGTAGGTGAGGACGCCGTAGCGTCTCTCAAGCCACTCCTCAAAGAGGGGACTTACCGCTGCAATGACAGCGAGCCCAAGCAAAACTACGCGTTGTTTTTAATGCATCAGCAAGGATGTCAAGCGGTTATAGCATAAATGACCTTATGTATAAAGGTCCTAATTTACAACAGGATCTGCAGGAGCTGATATTTCAATATCAGCTCCTGCAGATCCTGTTGTGGCGGCAATATCTTTATGCTTACACTTCAGATATCGAGAAAATGTACCGTCAAATAATGGTGGATGAAGCAGATCAGCAATATCAGCAAATAATCTGGAGGTTTGAGCCCAGCCAACCACTACAAACCTACAAGCTAACTACCGTCACAAATGGTACAAAGTCAGCACCATTTTTAGCAATGATGACTTCAAAACGCCTAGCTATGGATGAACAAAGCACATATCCAGAAGCAGCTAAGATTCTAGAAGAATCATTTTACATGGATGATCTGGTCCATGGTTTTCACTCGATTACAAAAGGAAAGCAACTTATCGAAGATCTCAACCGATTATTAAAATCCGGAGGTTTTACTTTGAGAAAATGGTCCGCAAATCATCCAGAACTTCTAGAAAATATAAAGCAGAACAGCAGCAATAGTGAAATTATATTCAACTTCAAATCAGAAAGTACGGCAAAAACATTAGGCCTTCGATGGAACTCTTGCGATGATATGTTCACTTTTAAATACAATATAGCTAATTCAAAGGCAAAAATTACAAAACGATTACTTTTGTCCGAAATATCAAAAGTATTTGATCCCCTGGGTTGGTTATCCCCACTAACCACAAAATTAAAACTAATATTCCAAAGGTTGTGGGAAAATAAAATGCATTGGGATGAAGAAGTTCCGGAAAACATACAGAATGAATGGTTAGCTATAAAAACAACATGGAATGTTTAAATCAATGCAAAGTACCGCGTTGGATCAGATATCAACCTAATAACGTCATCGAACTGCATGGTTATTGTGACGCATCGACGAAAGCGTACGCGGCGGTTATTTACGCATGAATACAGAAAAATGAAGAATATTCTGTGGTCCTAGTAGCCGCTAAGACTAGACTCGTGCCTGTATCTAAATCTGTATCATTACCCAGGTTGGAACTATGTGGAGCATATTTGCTAGCGAAGTTAATGAATAAAGTTAGTAACTGTTATAGCAAAATGGAGATCCGTATGTATGGATGGACAGATTCCATGGTGGTTCTGAGTTGGTTGCAAGGTGAGTCACATTGCTTCTGCACCTATACGGTTTCCATCGGCTGTGGTCACCTAAGGTAAACCCTTCGTAGCCAACAGGACTAAAGTTATTACAGCAACTATGAAGCCAAGCTGCTGGCGATACGTGAAGTCGGAGGACAATCCAGCCAATGCAGCAAGTAGAGGCATTTCAGCCTCACAATTGAAAAATAAATCTCTGTGGTGGGAAGGGCCGCAATCGTTGAAAACATTTAATGAAAAATTAGTCACACAGCCAATTACTTATAACACGAATCAAGAACTAAAAATCAAATCAACTGTAAGCAAAGTCAATACTGTACAAAATAACAATGTAGCAGAAAGTATTATTTTACAATTATTACACAAATTCAGCTCTCTTAATAAAATAATTAAGATAGTAGCATGGATTTTACGAGCCATGAAAACGATACAATTCAAGCAGTCTATTAGACAAACCTACTTTACCAGAATATCTTACCTTGCATGAATTGCGTGCAGCAAAGTTACTCATTCTAAAATATGTACAAATCTAAAATATGTACAAAAATCGAGTTTGCAGATGAAATAATAATATCATTAAGAAGGCATCCACTCTGACGCCCGAGTCTGACAGCCATAGCCTTGAACGCCGTCACCCCTTTAAAGCCTATTTTCTACCAATCTACAACTGCTACAACAAATTAAAAATACCTGTATAAAGCTGACATTATAAGGAATCTAAGTATGTGAAAATTAAATAGTCACTCTTATCGGTAACAGTACAAAAATAAGTTTATTTTTAGAATAATGGTGAAATTTGAGTAATTTTTTTGTTTATTACAAGTTTTTTCGAAATATTACGTAAAAGACTTCTATGTTACTTACGTTATAATAAACTAGATGAAATAACCTATTTTTTGATGCCAATATATCATTACTTAGAATTAACAGTACAACATAAATCAAAACAAACTACCCATTCCGGTATGAATTTGGTATCGCGTCTGACAACGAAAACACGGCAAGATGGCCGACTATCTAAGGGTACACGCTATAATTTGTTTGAGGAATCGGTTGGTATTTTATTGGATAGAAAATATTAAATAATTATATTTAAATGAAAGGCAGATTGTTGGTATCCATTATTTATTATTTAATAAAAAATAAATATTGTAAAAAACATGAAAATAAAATGTAAATAAATTTTAATAATTATATTTAAATGAAAGACAGATTGTTGGTATCCATTATTTATTGTTTAATAAAAAATAAATGTTGTAAAAAAAAAAATGAAAATAGAATATATAAAAATTTTAATAATTATATTTAAATGAAAGGCAGTTTGTTCGTATCCATTATTTAATGTATTATAAAAAATAAATATTGTAAAAAAAATGTAAATAAATGAAAATAGTTATTCTTTTTTGGGATGCTTTAAAACATCCATCAATGCAAAGGTTGACATCACACTCCTCACATTTCCAGATTGTTCGAGTTTTTTTCGGGCAAAACCAGCAGCAGGTGTATTTCGACCCTGTCCGAATGGGAAAATGGTTGGTGTCAAGAGTCGGTCTGGCTTGCGTCTTGGGTCGAATGGTGCGTTGAACTGCAGTCGTGCTCGGTCTTACGCTCAAACGTCGGCATTCAGTCGTCAAGTCAACCTGTCTATGTCGTCTGAGTAAGTCTTCGGCCAATTCAGTGCGGAACTGTCGATGTGATATCTTCCGGTGAAAACTGGAGATTATCACAAAGCAGTTGAATATGGCCACATTGAATGTTCGTCGGAAAAGTTTTTTGTACCAAACCTTGTTCTTAAGTCGTTCCATGGGATGAGCTGATAAGAATTGATCTTTCCTATCAACTCCTCCCATGCTCTTATTATAGTCTAGTACAATGTTTGGTTTGTATGTCTGTCTATTGTACTTGTCATGTGCCCCGATTTGGAGATTATGGTATGTAGAGATCAAACTAACTATGTTAGCGTCTCGCCATACCATAATAGCTAAATCGGAACAATACGTAGCCACTACTTCACCTTGTCGAAGGTCAGTCTTCGTCAAAGTCTTGACTGTTTTAGGAACGAATTCCCGATTCAGTCTGAGTGTCCCGTAACAGTCCGTCTTGTTCTTCTTCAAGCTCCGCAATAATAATGGACTATTATGAAAATTGTCCATTATTACAGTGTGCCCGCGATGTAGTAGTGGCTCGATCAAGTCATAGACAATTCTAGCTGTAGCAGTTATGGGACGGTTCCCATGTTCACCACTCCTAGAGCTGTCAGTCGTCGCGTCATTTGTGGGGCTGTCGTTAGTGTCTTCGCCAAGTCTGTCGGCCTCCTCCTCGACTGGTCTGTCCGTGTTGTCAGTAGTCGAGGTCGGTTTGTCTTTTCCAGCATATACAAAGAACTTCCAGAGATAGCCAGTGGATGACTCACATAGCTCATAGGTTTTTACACCTACTTGAGCAGCCTTTGATGATATTTTTTTGGCAAAGTTCAAACGCCCATGCCACTTCAAAAGTGATTCATCAATGGCTATTTCTTGTGAAGGCATGTATAGGCTGGAAAACTTGTCGTTAAAGTAGTTAATCACAGGTCGAATTTTACTAAGTCTAGTCGGGTCCGTGCAAGTCTGGTTGTCGACGAAATGGAGGAACGTTTTCAACAACAAAAACCTGTTGTACGACATGATTTTGGCAAAATATTGCAAAGTCCCAAAACCGTTGAACTTGAAATAGCCTTCTTCCTCCGATAATTGGTAGAGACCTTGCAAAATCATTATTGCAAAAAACGCCACCATTTCGTCCCTATTTGTAGGAGACCAACGGTGGAATCGAGAATGAGTGCCAAGTTTATGTTGCTCTCGCCCCACAGCTAGGACTTGTTCTGCGTACCTGTTGGTCTCCGTACAAATTTGGTCAATAAAAGTAATGTCAAACATCTTGTCGAATATGTCAATCGGTGGAGTCTGTTCTGTCACGTCAAAAGTAGGTCCAGATATACCAGTAAATTTTTCACGTTTACCGTGAAAATCGGTCCTGTCCTTACTCCAAACGAAAGTGTAACAGTCTTCGGGCACAATGTCGCGAATCGCACAGTCATTCAACGCATCCTCCCTCTGTAACACTTCCGCCTGGAATAGTGTCAAGTCACTGTCACAAGCTGGTTCTATGAGAGTATTACGTTCATTTAGTGTTGTCGGGAGGAGGCCCTCGTGGTCGTTGTCGTCTTTGTCGTCACCACTGTCACAAGCGTCATCAGTCAGTCGCAACCACTCATTCATGACGAGGTCGAAATTTGCGTCGTCAACACCTGGTACAAAAAAAATGCGCCATATATTTTAAGATATACAAGAACACAGACAGATCACGCTCGTGCGTGATATGTCTGTGTTCAGCTATTCATAAAAATGATGTATATAATTACCAATTGCTGAAGGTAGCCCCGAAACCTCAGTTGAGGCAACCACGACTTCCGCACCAACAACATCAGCGTCGTCAACACCTGGAACAAAAAAAATGCGCCACATATTTTAAGATATACAAGAACACAGACATATCACGCACGAGCGTGATCTGTCTGTGTTCAGCTATTCATAAAAATGATGTATATAATTACCAATTGCTGAAGGTAGCCCCGAAACCTCAGTTGAGGCAACCACGACTTCCGCACCAACAACATTCGCACCAAACGCCTGGAGGAAGAAAGTGAAACAGCAGTTCAAATTATAAATAAATTATGTACCAAATTATTTCAACAATGAGAACAGTGTCTGTCTCTGACTTACCGACATCTCCCTCCGCTGGACCTGGCCAACCTTCATCAACTGTAACAAACACACTCGTCAGCAAACACATTTACAGTCTTATTATGTCACCAACAAAACCATACTTTACATTCAAACACAATTTCTGCAGGGCAGGGCTCTGTAACAAACAAGGAAAGATATAGTATACACTAAAATAAAAGCATACTCGAAGGAGAAGATACTAAAATATACTGCTAATGCTAATAGCTATCTTACCAGCAGAACGAGATATACCCGAAGTTGATGGCTCAGCTGCAGAAGGTTCGTTGGGCAGAAGATCTGTAACAAATTACGGTATAACCTACATTGCACACCAAAGTACTTATAAAAAGAGTCTGAAGTAACCATCTTACCTAAACACTGATCAGCAGATGGAATTACCATGATACATGGCTGACGTTCCGGAGAATTCTTCCTGAAAATAAATTATAAAAATTAAACACTATACTAACATGTTGTTAAAAATATAATAATGTAAATAATAACTAAACTTTGAAGCATATTGACAAACTAACACCTGGCAGTCTAAACGTACTAGTACTACAACGAATTATGGTAGGGAAATGCTTACTTCGTCTGCCGTTTGCGCGGAGGCGCATCTGGCAAAAGCATTCGCTCCAGATGCGCCTCACGCTTTCGTGATATCAGCTCTTGCCGCGTAGCCGATGGTAGCGCAGCAATGCGACGCTGCGTAAGCTGCCTCTCTGCCCTGATCTGGTAGAGAGGGTCTTCCGCAGCAGCACTGCAAGCAATGAAACAGTTGTACAACATCGGAGGATTTTTTTAAATACACAGGAATATAAAACGATGTTACAGTTTGTTATGTATACTAAAAAGATACGTACGTTAGTACGGCCCCTCGACCACGCCCTCGACCACGTCCTCTCCCGCGCCCTCGTCCTCGCCTTCCCTCTATGGGATTACTTGTAGTCCTAAAATAAATAGTAGTAAAAATTTTAATATAAACTTTTATTTCAAGAAATCTAATTTTAATATTGTATACTTACGGTTGGCTCAGTAATCCTCGGCCACCACCCAAACCTCGGCCGCCACCCGAACCTCGGCCTCCACTCAATCCTCGGCCACCACCCAAACCTCGGCCTCTACCGAATCCTCGGCC